ACACACACACAGTCACACAGACATGTACGCACATGCACACTTTCACCATCCCTTCTCATCAGCTGTTGTGCATGACCTCGACCACACACAGACAAACAGGTTGGTGCTGCAAGGCAAGAAAGCCCCAACACACACACACACACCACACACACAAATACTACACACACACTATAATACACACACACACATACATACACACACACACACACACACAGACATTTATAGCCTGGCCAACTTAATTACATCCAATCTGCAGAACACTGTGGGGCGAGCTGAGATATCGCGGGGTATTTTTGGGTGTCTGAAGGTGACAGCTTACGTTACTGAGTCTCTATTTCTGTCCCTGTACATGTGTACTGTGTACAGTACGGTTGAATGCATATGTGCATCTCATAGAGGTGACAGAAACTACCTCAGCAGAAGAGGGGCCATCTTGAAACGGAGGTACTTTCATAACACCAAAACTAAACACACACACACACCAGAACAGTCTGCAGTGCTTGGCCCGAAACTCAGCCCATAAATGTCCAAGTCACTTTTTCCATACTCAGCAGCTCCTGGTGTTGTATAGAAATGCTACAGAGGGAGGGAAAGAGTAATGAAGTCAAAAAAGGAGAGCAGAGAAGGGGGAGAGGGGCAGAATATAAACCAACGTAACAGCCTGAGAGCCCTGGGCGATCAGTAATGACATCATGTATACACACACACACACACACACACACACACACACACACACTGGGGCCAGGTCTGGATGAAGAGCAAGGCAGCAGGGCAAGGAGGCTGGAAGGATAAAGAGGGAGGGAGGGAGGGAGGGAGTGACGGAGAAGGAGAGAGGATGACAGTGCACCATTTCAACTCTGTCAGTACGGCCGGTGACACATTCATTCTTGTGGACGGCACTAATAAACAGCAAACCACTGCCGCCGCAGCAGCAGCAGCGTGAATCTCATAAAATCACCACAACCGCTGCCTAAAAATAGTGAGCCCCGGCTGTTTACCATCACAGTGTTGACGCTGAGATTGAAAAGAAAAACAAAAAACATGGCTTTATCCCAGATTTCATTCACTATTTTGACAAGCAGGCTTCATGAACACACCTCCTCGATGTAAACGCGATGCATCGGTGCAAGCGGGGAGAGAAACCTCAGTGGTGCACTCCAGAAACAGCAGACAGGTCCTTTGGTAATTCATGTTATTGTCAACAACTTCAGTGTTTCTTCCCCTTCCACACAGACGACACTACACAGGTTCTTCTCTCGCTACACAACAACAAATGTGAAAGTTTTGAAAGGAGGAGTCCACAATAATCCCTCCGTTACATCTTAATACACAATCAAAACACACCTAAACCCAATCTATGTCGTAGAGGAAAAAAAAACAGGAGAGTTATCTGCATCACTGTCCTTAATCACACGACGTAAACAAGCGATTAAGTGGCTCCGTATTTTTATATAACAAACCGGCCTATTATCTCAAGAGCCTGGCAGAAACTACCAGAGCAAGGCTGGGAACGATTAACTACCAGCACCATGCACCAATACAAGCCCCAGCCTCACCCCCGGGGAGGCTGTTCCACGTATATGTGCACAAGACAAGAGAATACCCTCCTTTATGCTTGTTTGTTTCACAATGAAGCTCTTTATTACTTCAATTGTAGCTCAGCACGGAAAACCTACACGGGACACGGGACAGAGGCACGAGTCCAGGAGCATCTCTGAATGGGAACCAAAGGATAAAGTGACGATGAACGATTAGTTGACCCATCACTCAACTGAGAGAAAATGAAGGGACGGCAATTTTGATTTGAGTAATTGATGAGGCAGAACAGAAAGAAACATTAGCTCATTCTAGGTCAAATTTGAAGGGATTTGATGCTTTAAACTGTTTTATATAACTATATTTTAGTCTGTTAGACACAAACAACCAGATTTACTATTTTCTGACTTGTTAAAAATGCAAAAACATAAATTAATAGATCATTTTGAAAACTCATGATCTGCATACTAACATTACATTTAGTGATCAACTCAACTTCAACTCACTGGTGGAGATGGAGGAGAAGCTCAATCCCAGTTTACCTTTTTAGAAATGTTATTAAATGATTATCAATGAACAGCCAGAAACACTAATAATTACCAAGATAAGGAGTCAGTGTGTATGAAGGTGTGTGAGGCTTTTCTTTTTGTTAAATGTGTGGTGAACTACCACACATTTACCAGCTGATGGGCCTCTACGTGAACAGAGCACAGGTGTTCAAGAGGTGGCAAATTAAACGGCGAACACAACAGCGGTCGTGTTGTTGCAAAGTAACGTTAAGATATATAATATGTTATTATATTATAATTAACGTTATATATAATTAATATATCCTTAAAGCAGAGCGGTGGTCAACGGCCGGCGCTGGCGACAAACGTCTCTCTAACGGCTGTTATTTTTTTTTAAATAAACAACCGTTGCATTCCTTGACACCGCGAGAGGACTCACTCAACGGCCACAGCGTTAAAATCTCTGACAATAAACTCAAAAGGAGCACACACACACACACACACACACACCAGTGGGTCCTGTAACATTAAATGTGATACACACACACACACATCTACCCCCGCAGCCTCCCCAGTCTCCTCTCCCTCTCTCCCCCCCTCCACCTTTCCCCGACTTGTTTGCAACACAGCGGGGCCCTCGGATGCCAAAGCAATGCGGTCGCCCAGAAGAATACGGAAAGTTACTCACGTTTCCAGTCAATTCGAGGTTGAGGGGCAACGGTAACCTTCTTGTGTTCAAGCGAAAATTCTCGGCATACCACACCACTCACCTCCTTTCCCAGTGTGTTCACGTCCTCCTCGCTGCGCCCCTGTCTTTTTTTTGCTCTCCTCCCCTACGTTTTCTCGAGGCTTGTTCCTTTTCTCCTCCCTCCCAGATGCCGCTGTTCTCCGACAGGGGGAACCGGGGGACGCTGCTCCGGAAGCAAACGCTCCTCTTTTTGTTAACACTCCCTTTGCTGTCTGAAGTCTTTATTGTACAGCGGGGCCACAAGTCACTGCCTTCACTTCACAGTGTGGTACAGCTAAACAAGGGGTTTGTAAATGGTCTGTCCCCAATTAACAATTCTTAAACATAGTCTAGATTATGATATTATTATGATGATAATGGAAATAGAAATGGGAAATCCATGGGATACAGATGAGTAGGGGGATAAACCTACAAATAAGAGGTTAGAAAGTATGGAAGCCCATTTCAATGTGTCTCTCAAAATAATGAGAAACCTTTTCAAAGGTTCTGACTTAGTATCTCAAATAAACTTTCTCAATATTCAAAAATATTGAGAAAGCTTCTCATTTTAATGACTTACAGAATCCTTTCTTTCCCATCACATTGGTGAAAATAAGAAATAAACCATACTTTAGCCTAGACCACTGTGTATAAAATAATAAGTTGTATTTATGCATAACCATAATGTGAAAATAAGATGAATATAATATGCACAAATTACAATAAATATGAATATGTGACATTATGTGGGTTTATGGGTATGTGACATATTAATATGTGATAAACACAAGATGACAGAATAGTTACAGTAGTAGTAGTAGTATACAACAGTACACTGGTTGCATATAAATTATAAGACATGTATGGAATAATGTAGTGTCTATGCTACACAGGAGCTTAGTATAGTAAGTCAGTAATAATTAGCTTGTTATATTTTGTAGTTTTATTTTTTAACAAAATGTGGTTCAAAATAACTAAATTATTTGAAAAGTCAGTAACAATCAAAGTAGTCATTTAAATTTATTTCAAAAGATCTTCACACTGGGATTATAAAAACAACATCACACAATCAATATGATAATGTCATTACATACAAACCCAGATAATAAAATATCAGCCTGTAGATAAACATTATTTGGCCTTTGAGTTTGTAATGATTGTTATGACCCAATGTTCTACCTAATTATAATAATAATGTGAGGGGCAAACTGATTTATTGTCTTTCTGTATTGGTAATAAACTGATGGATAATAAACCAGCATTCAAATTGATTTCTCCAGTAGCCCACTGCTAACTACAAACAGAACTATAGAAAGCCACCACACATGACAGCATTTGATAGCATTCAGTTTTCAGCTATTTAAATTTACTACACAAGGACATAAAAAAAGCATTTAGTCTGAATGACTCCTCATTATAATCTGGATTAGATGCACTGTTTGCAATTCGTGCACGCATGATAAATATTCTTGAAAAAAAAAACTGTGAATTTGTCCTGCCCTCTCCTTGTTGAAAACAGAGCTGAGCAAATGTAATCAGGCCACAGTCCCAGAGCACTTTAACAGTGTATAGCATTTTATTAATGGCCATTCTGGAGTTGCACATAAGATAATAATACGGTTATTGGATTACCTTTGAGAAAACTTTCAAGGCTCTGCAAGATTATTTACATACAGAAATGAATGGGGAGCATATGGTGCCCAGAAGGTTGGAAAGTGTTTGAACAAATTGTAAGTCATGCTTTTGCTTTGAAAAATAATTACCAACATTGTGTGTAAATGGTCTAAAAGTGCCAAACCATGAAGTAGTTACTGTTTAAACCTTTTGAAATCTTGAATGGGCAGAGTCAGTCTGGACTGGAGGAAAAGAAGTCTAACTGGGTGTATAAGGAAGGCGGGGCATTAAGAAGAAGACACAACACAGTTGACTGTACAGATATTTGTGGTCCTGGATGGATGAATCTTTGGTGACCTCAGTTTCCACTTGTCCATGACTAATGATCACATTTCTCTTATCTGCTACATTACTATTATTGCTTCACTGTGCTTTATATGCTAATATAGTTTTACATTCACAGGGCCAATGACATGAATGAAGTTTCATTGCTTCATTTCTAATGCAAATAGTTGCCCACTGTGTCATCAACATCCTTATTAGTTTAGTATTTCTAAAATAAATATGGCAACAGAAGCAATATTCAGCACACAATACTGAAGTAAATATCTCAGATATACATGCTATTTAGTTTGTATATAAAACAGGACAGTCTGATGAAACGATGACACCTGGTGGTTAAACCTATTTACTGCATTGTTTGGTCATAGTCTATGCCAAAGGATGGTTTTTCAGCTTTATTGGCCAAGTATGTGTAAACATACAATTTCCACTTGTACAGTTTAGTTTTAGTTTTGGTCAAGTTTAATTTTCTGCTCATATTTTGCACTCCATGTCCTTCTTGAACAATGCATAGTGTATATACATTATTTATAGTTTTATATCTTCTATTATATTTTGTATTTTGTAATATTTTTATGTGTGATATTATTTGTTCTCTGTTTTGCACTACTT